TTATGGTTGCCAAAAAAAACAAGATATTCATGAAGTCATCAGGCGTCATATTGAACTATAAATTGATTTAACTCTTTATATGTATGGCATGAAATTGGAAAAGTGATTGCATTGCAGTACTGGTGGTCCTTAGCTTATAACCAATCATTTAGGGGCCACACAAATTTATAATGGACCCCAAAAAAGATACTTTAGACCTGGTTTTGAGGTTCCAATGGCCAGGCTCCACCTATGGTCATGTGACCACACTTAAGGCTGTTTGCATGGCCCCATGGTTACAAGACTTCGATTTACAACTTTACTGGTGTAAGCCAGCATTTACTTTCAGTTTCTAGGCAAAAAAATGCCCATTGCAGAAAATGGATTTGCTTAACAATTACAGTATTCCCTTAATAACTGTTGCAAAAAATGTCATAAAATTGAATTGGTCATGTGTTGACCTGCTTAATGGTTGGCATATCTTATGACTGTAATTCTGGACTTAATTGCAGTCATATTTGAGAACTACCTGAAATCATTTGACAGCATGGGTGAGGTTCATCAATATGCTGATGCTATTCAACTGTGTATTTCTGTCCTTAGCCAGCCACTTGATGCAATCTTCCTGGTCTCTTGTTCAAAGAGCAGGTGACAGCTGTGATCAGGATGTCATTGCATAGCTTTGTGGTGCGCACCAATAGCACCTTTCTTGGATCAGGAGGCATTACTCTTGTCTCTCACACTTTGATCACCTTCAAGTGTATTGTAACATAATCGGCACGGAGCTCCCCTTGAAGAATTTCTAGAACTTCAATTGCTCCAGAATATGGTAGTAGCAAATAAGGGGTATGTCTTGCTTTTCCTATGTTATTCCTTTGTTCTAAGGGCTGCACTGTTTTCCAGCATGCTTCCTGGTGTAGTTCAAGATATCAGTTAGTGGGAGCCAGGGAGTGTGTCTTTTCTGTATATATATATCTCTGTCTCCTTCTCCCTCTCCCCCCCCCCCGTGTGTGTGTGTGTGTGTGTGTGTGTGTGTGATGGAGTTCAGATCTGCTCAGCTCTTGTTGACACATTATGTTGTATGCTGGCGGCAGACTCAGACAGTAAGGAGGTTGGGGAGGAACTTGGGCCAGTTCAGTCCTGGAGTCTGGGGAAGGCTCTACTGGGTGCTCTGCATCAGATGCAAAGATGGGGCCAGGGGCATCTGACATTTATCAGCTGCCTTTGAAATCAGAGATAAGTGGGGCAGAAGAACAGTTGGAGCCTGTTCCAGATGTGCGTATGTGCAGAGCTGTCAGGAGAAGGAAACAACTAAGAAACAGGTCAACTCAGAAGTGAAGGCACAAGTGGATGCTGAATGGCCCCTCCCACAGGAGCAAAAGGGGGAGTGGTGTTTGCAGGAGATAATTAGTTCGCTTATTAGTGTGAAGATTTGCTTATCTGAGACTCCTTGCCAGGTATTTCATTTTATAGCTTTGCAACTGGAAACTCGGCCTGGCAGCTGTCCAAGGACTGATAAGGTTTGTTTTTGCAATTAAACCTTGAAAGGCTTATTGCCAGGACTTTTCTGGATGTGAATGCCAGGAATTCACATTAACCAAATAAAAAAGGGTTATTTTTCAGGACAAGGCATCTGTTTCGTGATTCTGTTAAGCCTGGGTCAGAACACATTGCTCTGGGTACAACCTTTCCCTTTAATCATTGGGCATAGCTCTCTATGGCAATGTTGGCTTGTGCAATAGGAGAGACGAGGCGCATGGTTTTCACACAGGTATCTTACCTGTGCATTACCTGCCTTTTTGGGCCTTATGTGAGCTCCTTATTGAATTTAGCACACTCGAAGGCTCACTAGAATAGTGATACACAGAAGGTCAGTTTAAATTAGAAAAGACAGCCAGACACTTCCAGGTTCTGCATTGCTAGTTTTGTTGCCATTGAGCCCATTACAAGTTTTCATCTGCTTCTGCTGATAAAGGATTTTGTGGGGTTGTATTTTTTGTAGTTTGTTCTATTTTTATTTTATTCCATTTGGAGGTTCGCACAAGATCAATTTCAGGCAAGTGCAGTTTCTGTGACTAGCAATAACCACAATTAGTTATGACCACTTAGTGCAGCGATGGCGAACCTTTTTTGGCTCATGTACCATTACCAGGGGAAGTGCGGTGGTGGTGGTGTCGTGCTACACCCATAATGCAATGCACAACCCCCCAGTGCGCATGCGTGCATGACAGACACTCCTTCCATTTTTTGTATGCTTTTTGGTCCTCCCCAGGCTCCGGAGACTTTATAGGATCCTGGGGAGGATGAAAACAGCCTAGCCCTGTCCCTCTGGAGGCCCTCTGGAGGCTTCAGGAGCTTCCCTGAAGCCTCCGGAGTGCAAAAAAACGGCCCTACAGGCAAACCAGGTTCAGGGGCCTTCCTGAGGCTTCCCTGAATGCTCCGGAGGATGAAAAATGACCCTATGAGCTTGTAGGGCCTTTTTAGTCCTCCGGAGCCTTCAGGGACCTTCAGAAGGCTTCCCTGAAGGCTCCGGAAGACTAAAAACAGCCATACGAGCAAACAGAAGTGACTTCCATTTGTCCCCTGAAGGCTTTGGAGGGCTTAAACTGGTCCTACGAGAAAAACAGAAGTCCGTCCTTGAACTTCTGGTTTGCCCATAGGGCCATTTTTTTTGCACTCCGGAGACTTCAGGGAAGCCCCTGAAACCTCTGTAGGGCCTCCGGGGGGAGGGGGGAGGCTGTTTTTGCCCTCCCCAGGCTCCCATAAAGCCTCTGGAGCCTGGGAAGGGCGAAAAATGGCTTAAAAAAAGGATGAACTCAGCTGGCCAGTGTGCGTATGCACGCTGGTCAGCTGACAGAGCAATGCCTCGCGTGCCCTAACAAATGGCTCCACATGCCACCTGTGGCACGCATGCCATAGGTTCGCCACCCCGGACTTAGTGCAACTACTTTGGCAGCACTAGATACCATGGATACCCTTGTTATTTCGTTTGGACCAATTACCACTGCATGATGCTCTTGTATGGCTTGTTCTCCAGACCAGTCACTTCTGGTCATGGGGCTGAAACAGAACTCTTGGTCATCCATTGGCAGCAGCGTCATTCCCCTGCAGCATTAGTTGGGAATGGAGCTTTGTTGTTATTGACCACTCCTTTCATACTTTGCCACCTTCTGCCTGTTACATGTCAGCCAAGTTAATCTTGAACCCAAGTTTAGATCTGTATTTCAGAAGAAAGCTATAGCCATGTTCAAAGCCAGTCTGGCTGACAGGCAACACATGTATAGGGGAAGCTGTGAGGAATCTTGGGGGAGTTCTTCCCCACTTTATTCCATGTCCCCACTTAACACCTGGCACTGGATAGGTAGTTACATCCATCACTCTAGGCATCCGCCTTAATTGGCACTCTCCTATCCAACTCCATGTGAAGGAAAATGATTGTCAATGATCTGGTTGCCCTTGGCAGAAGAAACAAACTCATGGAATCTATGAACCCCTTTACTTACTTAGTCCACAATGATACAGACAGCACAATATTCGGCAGAGAGAGCACTTTTAGCTCAATCCTGAGAAAAAGCCCTGAGAACGCTACTGCAAAACATTCTCTTACCACGGTTCAAATCCACCACTTGTTCACACAAGGATCTTAGCTGCCAGTGTCTTCCCACTTCCTGCCACCATTCAGTCCTCCGCTTGATTTCTATGCAAGGCAGCGAGCTCCAAGAATATATCGTTGCTTTGTCCATGCGGTTGGTGTGGCACCTGTTCGGCTTCTTGAAGGCAAGGAACGGAATCCCGACTTCGACCGTGTCCGACGGGACCCCCGTTTCCCTTGCCCCGTCGTGCGCTTTCTTCACGGTCGCCAGTAGGAGGCGCTAAAAGGCCAGGACAAGCCTGTGTTTTTGCCCTTCGGCTACATGACGTTGATTGCTGCCTCAGCCAGTATCTCACTAATAACGCGGGGGAGGGGGGAGAAAAATCCAGGCAGAGGAGAAATTCCTCCAACGCTCCCTTGTGAATCCCCCCTCCCCGATAGACACTCCGGTTGATTGGGTAGATGTGTGTGAAAGCCTCTGGCTTCGTAGGCGGACGATTGGGGAGAGCTGGCTAACTCCAGCCCACACCACTTCCACCCACTCGCACCCTTGGGTGACAGGTCGCTTTTGTGAGTCTCCCGCCCTTCCGGGCCTGTCTTCTACTATTGACTCACAGGGAGTCCTCCTTCCTTCCTCGCCACCAGTTTTTTTGTTTTTTTTTAATACAGCGCCATTATTCTAGTTCTCTCTCTTTCCCGCCCTGGTTTTTCACCTTCCTTTGCTTTCCGGGGAAAACGGCGGCATTCGCTGTGGCGGTGTGGGCGTGTGTTTGAAAGAGATTGCAGCTGAGGCAATACTGACTTTGCCCCCAGGCAGCCCTTTTTCGGGCAAAATGGGCTTGAGCTTCAGCCCGACGAACTCAAGAGCACTTGAGGTGAATTGTAAATATGTCCAGAGGCTAAACCCCCCGCCCTTCCCCGCCGCCGCAACCCCGAGGCAACCATAGCCCCCAGCATGGCACGCCGTTAGAAGAGGGACTTGTCGCTGCAAAATGGGCTCTTCTCCTCCCTAGGGGAGGGTCGTCCTTGTCTCTCCCCCTCTTCCAAATCCTGCCCCGAGCCTGGTCCGAGCCGCCCACAACGAACAGCCTCCGGCTAACAGGTAACCGAGGAAGAAGGTGCAGCCACCAAGCTCCGGTCCTTCTCTCGGAGGTCCGTTGCAGCTGGTGGCAACAGTTACTGGCCGACGGGAGTCGGTTGGCGGCCGCCGCGTGTGACGAGCCGGGCGCGCGTGTGCGTCTCTCCCTCCCCCCCCCCCCCTCCTCCCGGTCCGCACACCTCTCCAGAAAAGCAAATGCGGTCTCGGGGAGGCTCGGTAGAGAGTCGAGCCCCCCGCCCGCTTCATTCATTCCTCTGGAGCTGGCGGTGGGACGAGGAGGGGGAGACGGGGGTGGGTGGGGAGAGGAGACCGCCGACATGTCAGCAGCAATGCAGATGGGGCTAGGAACGGCAGTCGCTCGCCACTGAACGGCTCCCCGCGAGTGGTGGGCTGAATTTGGTGCGCACGCGCTCGTGTGTACGTGTGTGTGTGTGTGTGTGTTGTGCGCGCGCGCATGTGTGCATGTGTGTGTGTTACGGAGTTCCTTCCTTCGGTGGTTTCTAGCTCGCCCGTTTCTCCAGTTCGCCTTCGTGCCCATCCCAGCCATGGCACAGCCGGAGCATCTCTGACATATTTATAGCCCAGGAACAGCTGTTTGCCATTCCTCTATTTGTGGGCTCATGTGGGGAAATGCGTTTTCCTTCCCATTCTTCGAAACGTGCTAGCGTCTCCACAGAGGAGAGGTTCCATCTCTCTCGCCCTCCTCTCAGACCGACCCTCTCCCCTCTTTTCCCTTCAGGAGGGGGCGCTTGGAGAATTATCATGCTTCGCGGAGGACCAAAATCTACCCTCGCGGCACCCCAACTCAGCCTGCTTTGCTAAGCTTCCAGGAATATATTTCTTCTATCATCGGCGCCAATAGAAGAATCGCCACTGTGGCGTTCTCGCATTCCTTCTCTTCCTTCTTTCCTTCTTTAAAGAGAGAAAATGGAATGATCTCTCTGGATCCCGCATATTTCGACTTTCCTCTCTACTGGATCAGATTCATCTTAGAAGGCGATATCTTGCTTTGCCTTTGCACCACTTCCAGACGCAAGATTGCCAGCGTCGAGGCGTCTTGCAAGAAAGCGGTTTCTATGTGCATCTGGCATCGCCCCTTCCCCATTTGCTCCCCAAACCTCATCCTTCTTTATGTGGATATGCAAGCAAGAAGAGGAGACTGGATATTCCCAACATGCTCACTCCCCTAATCTGTCCGCCTAGAGGTTCTGCTTCTACAAATCAAGGTAGGAGATTTTGTTCAGGGTGGGGTGGAGGTTGGTGAATATCCCCCCCATACACTATTAAAAAAGCCACTCGTGTTTTAAGCAACTAATTTTGTACTAATAGCACAAACCAACCGCTGGGCTTCTCACAAAAGAGCCAGAGACGCTGTTTGGAATGAGATTCGGTTTTAAGGAGTCATTCAGACATGTTGATTCCTCCCTTCCCTGGCTTGTCAGAAGAGCAGGGGGAAAAGAGACACGAGCTTATTCCCTTCCTTCTCCACCTGATACGACAGCGCTTTCGTGCTTCTAAAAGGAGGCGGAGGTGGGGCAGGAGGCAGCGGATCAGAGGAGGGCAAAGATGGAGCTTCGCTACCTCCCTGTCAAAATGGTCTTGGCCAGCCTTCTCTAGCTCGGGTTTACAGCCTGGCCGTTTGGGAATATGCAACATGGTGGTGTTCTGCAAAGAGATTGTCTTCTAGTCCAAGTGCAAGCAGGCCCCGGAGCTTTAGGCAAGCCAATGTGGCTGCCTTCGCAAAAGCTAGTTGTAGGGAGCACTGGCCAGCCAGTCCCAAGAGAAGCAGAGGGGGCTGCTGATGTGTAGGCAGCCGCTGTCTGTTTGCAGGTGGATGGCCATCAGAAGTCTAAGCACGTTAGGAGACCTCTAACCCCTCCTCTCCCCGCCCCGTGCTTTATCTCAAGGCAAAACCTGCACCTGCCATCCTCCTCCTGCTTGATGCTGGAGGCTTTAGCCACGTTGACTTCTCGCTTCTTGGCGCGAGCCATGCAGTCTTCCCTTCCCTTCTTCTCTCCTTTCCTCCGTGTCTGGCTCGCTTTCGCGCGCGCACACACACATCCACACTCGTTTTTTTCAGCACGGGATGCAAAATGGCTATCTTCTTGCTCGACTGTGCCTGCCTACGCGATACAGACCGTTAAATGCAGGACTGAAATTGGGCACGCCAGTCTAGGGGTAAGATGGTGGCAAGACAAAGGCGGGCGAGTTCTCCTGTGAGTGGGTGTGGATGCGCATCCAAAACCGTATGAAAAAAATATGGGAATCGTGGCGTTTGGTTTCAGCCCCAAACGTTCCGACCGGCAATCCTCCTGGTCGGTTACCTTGCCGGTAGAGCCTCTGGTGAGCCCGCCACTATATGACGCCTCCGCCCCCCGCATCGCGAGGTAGAACTGAATTGTTTCTACCTGGGATTCTGTAAGGAGGGGTCTCTGGCCGGCCTTGGAGGCAAGCTCTGGGTCACTCACCAGATGGTCCTAAATAGCTTCCCGAAAAATTTCATGCCAAGCGCGACCCTCTGACCCTCTTCCACTCCCAACTTCCGAGAGGCGGCCCAGAACGGCAGCAGGGCTGCCAGGAGATGATGGCCAATAACGGGACGCGAACGATCCAGGAAGCGAGGTGCGGGAAAGGGGTAAGAGCTGAGGGCTCCCTCCACGATCACCACACCCCTTTAGGCTCCCGAGCCTTCCCTCTGCGAAACAGGTGGAAGGACCTGTCCCCGGTAAAACCTAGGGCGGTTGTGTGTGTGTGGGGGGGGGGGGATCGCCGAAAAGCCCCACAGGCTAGAAAAGGATCCAGTTCGCCTTGCAATCCTTCCCAGGCAGCCAAGGGGGACCGTGACAGAAATGCCGAGAGAGAGCGAAAGCGCAACGAATGTACCGCCTTGGCACCGTTTCTTTTCCATCTTCCCGGCTCCGCTGTGGTTGTAAAAGGAGAGGCGAGGATGACGGTCCTTTCACAGCTGGGGAGAGGCCGGTGCGAGGTAGAATTCCCCCCACCAGCAGCCACGTTCGCCTGGCGCTTCTATAAATAGCCCAGGATCTCGGTGACATCTACCTACGTTCCCCTTCCGCGAGTGGGAGTCTAAAGTTTACCTGCGCTGGGAGAGTGCGCGCGCGTGTGAGCGAGGGGCGGAGCCAAGAGGCAGGGGCAAAGGGGGTGTGGAGAGCGGCAGCTGAAGGGGCGGGGATTTCCAGCCTACTCGCTGGAGTTAGGGCGACAGGTGCGTGCCTGGAGCGTGGCTATCGGGCGCTCCCTCCCTTTCTGCTGTCTTGCAGCATGGCTTGCGACCGGAGTGGAGAAGGGCGCGCCTTCTCGTCCTGCCTTTTTTTCACAGATTTGGCTGGGGCGATGGACTGTTGGTGACAACGGGCAGCAAAAACAGGCGCCGGCTTTCTCCCAGGCGTTCCTTCGCCAAGGCAGCTGGCTAGAGCATCAGCTTCGTTCCAGGCAGCAGCGTGGGCAGAAGAGCTCGCGTATTTCGGATCGATCGAGCTCTAAGAAGCCCCCACCCCCAATTTTCAGCGCCTCTTGAACATTGGCATTTATCGGGGGAGCGCGTGCGAGTTTGCGTGCCAGCGTTGGGTAGAGTGGGCGCGGAGAGCTTGGCATCTGAGCCTTTTTGTTCAGCTGTGGCTGTTTCGGCAGAGCGAGGCAAAGTCCATTCTTCCGATGCATCGCGTTAAGCGATGCTTCTGTCTGCAAACTTTCCTCGTGCTGGAAATATACTCACCTACAAGGCTGAGACACTGCTTTTTCTATTCGTATTCCCAAGGACAGTTATCAACATTTCCACGGGAGGCTTAAAGCCGTTTGTCTGCAATTGACCATGCAACTTATAATGAAGGAAATGAACTGCGAATTCTTTCCAGCATTTCCATTTTAAAACGAACAATCGATACAAACCTTAACATGTACATGGAATCTACATTTGTCTTTTCTTTCTTCAATTCTTCAGCATCACCTGGAGATAGAATGGACAATTACTAAAGCCACTTTTCCCCCCAACACTGATGTCATCCACACATTCAGAAAACCAGCGTAGGAAGTTTCAAATGGATCTTGTGCATGATATTAAGAACTTCGCTGGTGTCTCCCACAATTTTCATTCATAGCACCAAATGACAAATTGGAAGAAATCAGACTGAAAGGTGATCAGTGCCTTTAACTGGGAGAATTTGTCTGGATTCCTCCAGATCCCAAACTGAACTTTGGCAGGGAAACATCTCCACAACCTCTTCCATTGATCTGGCATATATTCAGTGGCCTTGACTTTTAAACAAAGCATACTTGTATGGCAGGATTGGGAAGGAGTGGGTATTTGGTGTGATGAAGGATTAGGTTTAGGTGAGTGCATAGAAGAAGCTGTAGTGTCAAGTTTTCTAGCACTTCTCTGTATTTAGCTCTCATTTTCAATATTTTCATAAAATATATATTCACAATTTTTTAGGATTGTAGTACTTCATTATTACTGTGATAAATAACATATCTTTTAATCTAAAATATTATACAAATGCTAACCAACACAAATAAAAAATGGACACAGAATAAATTATGATACGCTCTGAATACCCTGTAGAACAAGGCTTTTTTTAAAAAAATATCACACCATGTTTGTTCTCGAACTCTGGAACTATTTCACAGACAGAGCCTCTTTCTTCATTAACCTCAAATAAAGTTTTTTTTTAAAAAAACTTTTATAAACTGAAGATCTTCAATTTTAAAAGCACATTTAGCTAGCAGAGCATACCCCTCTCCCGCCAAAATGAACTGCGGTTAAAAAAACAGCAAACTGTGACAATAGATTGGAAGAGAATAAGAAAATAAAGAAAAAAATGTTATTATTTTTTCCTGGGTAACCCTTAATCTAGCAGAAATTTTCAGAAAGCCAAGATGGGGTAACACAGTTGTGAGCTGCTATTATACTAAAATGATAGTGTGAATAAATGTGTGATGCTTCTAAGAGCTATAAACAAACACATTACCAAATCAGAATGCAGAATGAACATCTGAAATACATGATAGATTTATTTTTAATTAATTATAATTAATTTTAAGGTTAAATTCATAGAAATAGAACACTCACGCTGCCATTATGAAACTCAAAGATACAACATTTGATAGGATTCAGTAAAATATTCTGTGATATAATTTATATCTTCAGAGACAGATTTATAGGATAAATATACATCTGAAATATGTACATATAAATATACAGTTTCATATACAGATGTTATCTTTAAAATATTGATTGATCAACATATCAAAAGGTAAATACACCAATGTGTGCTCTATACACACTGAAGCATGTGTGTCTGTGTGCATAAAATAGCAGAATAATAACATACATCTTGGGATAGCGTAGTTAGATATACACAAATTGATAAGCGATAAAATGGTTTAGAAATAGAATAGAAAACATACAGTACTTGTATAAACCCACAGCTTGTCAATTACACACTTAAAGAAACAATTATAGAGTAGCATATACACATATATGATACATACAATCATGTAATTCTAGAAAGCATACAGTGAAGATTTAAAGCTTGGTTTCAACTATATGAAGTAATAAGATAGTTTAAAATTTATGCAGTTTGTTCCTTTTCTCCCTATGAGGAAAATTAGTAATTACATAGTTTTCATATACAGGAGTCATTTCAATGTAGGAAGAGATATAAATATAAAACTAACATATACATAACTCAATAAATTAAGAATCTCTAAGTGTAAGTGTGTATATAGCTAGTCCTTGACTTATGATTGTTTAATGATGGTTTAAAGTTACGATGGCCTTGGAATAAGTGACTTACAACCTCTCCTCAAAGTTACAACCATCGCACCACCCCTGAAGTAACATAAATAGGACGAGTAAAATGTGTTGGATATGTTCCCCACTTCAAGTAATTTGTAAAAATAATAAAGGCAGGATACAAACAAACAAACAAATAAACAATTGCACTTTGGGTATTTGGAAACCGGCTGGTATTTATGATGGGGGGAAAGTTAATTTGCTTAATGACTGATTCACATAACAGCTGCATGATTCACTTAATGACTATGATGATAATAGTTGTAAAATTGGATCTCGGCTTGTAATGACTTGCTGAATGACTGCATCACTTGAGCTCAAATGGATTTCATTCTAGAAAGTAGGTTTGTGCTGGGAGTGAATTTAAATAAGCATACAGAAAGTTGCACAGGATGACTAGTATGGGAATGT